CACACACACACACACACACACACACACACACACACACACACACACACATATCCTGACCCCCACAGTCATTCCTTCCCCCGAAGATCACAATCGCCATCACCAGCCACCAGCGAGCTCTGCCCGACTATGGCAGGCTTGTGCGCTGTTCCCAGGCAGCGCCCACCTCGTAGCGCCCGTGTGCGCCCTGGCTTGCTTGCACCCACCAGCCATGCGCTGCGACCGGCAACGCTGCTGCAAGTGCGCCCTCGCCAGAATGCCTGGCTGGGCCCAGGGCACTTTGCTTTATGGAAAGTGCTGGCGCAACCTGGGGCCCAGTAGCTCCAGGTTGGGGCCCCTGGGCGTGGGCCTGACAGTTGGGTCACCCAACTTTGCAACGTCATCGTCGCTGGTTGCTGCTCTCCCATTGGCTGAGAGGTCGTGGCTGACATGTCGCTCAGCGGGCCCTTTCCTGAAAAGTGAGGGCCCAGTCGCACAGGCAGGCTGGACGCAGACCCTGGAAAATGCGGCCAGGCGAGAGGTAATCCGTCCTGCTGTCCCAGGAGCCTGAGGAAATTTCGGCTGGGGCGCTGGTAGGGCTGTGGGCCTCTTGCGAGGGCCTATTTCTTTGCACATGGCAAAAGGTAGGCACAATTCAGCCCTTGGCATGGCGAGGCGGTACTATGTGGGCTGGGCGGTTTTGTTATGAATGGCATGAGAAGTTGTCTGAAAACTGAGGCCTCAATTAACCGCCTCTCCCCTCTTTCTTGCCAAAAGAACGACGAACACAGCAGTCCGAGGAGGAAAATAGACTTCTATATGAACCACCGGCAGAGCGATGTGGTCATAGTTTATCACCACCAGGGCGAGCTGTTGTGGATCATGTCCTGCAGCAGCTGAATGCCCTTGCGTTGGACCGCTCCTCGCTGTCGTCGTCTGCCCATAGAGAAGGAATGCATACTGAGGAAGCCCAAGAAAGATCTCCATGCCGTTTTGTGATGACCCGCTGGAGATTCAACTAGCATGTGGTTCACATGCCTTGTGCCGTGAGGATTTCGAAGGTATAGTCCATGCGAGTTTTTGCTTCCATACGTACGCCAGTCAGTACTGTACTCATGTACGGCACCCCGATATGTCATGCCCAATTTGTAGACGGGCTGGAACGGCAATGCCTCTATAATTGTGGTCGATGTGCCTCTGTGTTCCTAGCATGTACGAGCCACGTAGCCTGTGACATCTGTCTGCGCCGTGCCATTCGATGCGGCAACTGTGATTGTGAAAATTGGATGCGGTGCTTCCATAGCCCACACCCGAACCGGTCCTGTCCGGTTTGTAGGGGTGGCCACTCGCCATTTTTTTTTTTTTTTTTTTTTTTTTTTTCCTGCTTCAGTGGTGAATCTTTAGAAATTTGTGAAAAAAAGCCGCCTCTGATTGAAAAACCATAAGGACAGTCAGACCCCTTGTCCCAGTCCGCTACAGAAGGAGACTTAGCGAATGGCAGGTGGCCACTGATGTTTCTTTCGCCATCCCGACTCTGGGGGACATACGAACGTTGGCACGAACTGTCAAAGAAGAGATCTCTCAGGATTATCCCTTGGGATTCTTCGACATCCCTTGCACATTCACTCCAACAATAGGACAGAGTGAACCTGAACAGGTACCAGACTCCACCAAGCCTTTCGAGCCAATCCTCGTCAAAATGGATGAAAAGGCGAAGCTCCGCGAGGGCCGGGTATGGAGAGCTTGGAACACAGTCACTGCGCTGCCATACAGCACTCTTGCAAACAAGATGTGCCCGACGGATGTAATGGCTGAGTCCCTGGCCTCCATCATCAGATCTCGCATCCTTGCCACTGATAGATCCCTGCAGGAAAATGCTGAGCCGATATACGTAGAGCCTGAGGACGAAGACGAGGGACTCATGGACGACAATGATGACAACGAGGCCATCATGTATGGCAACCCCCCCTCAAAGAGTGACGATCACGGATTCACCCCAGTGCCTGAGGGCAGCACGGGGGGTTGCAGCATGATGTTCGGGTCTGTGAAGACCACCAACGACGACAGGGAAGGAACTGGGGCAGACAGCAAGGAGACGGAGGCGGCAGTTGATTAGATGAAAAAAGTAAAAAATAAAAATAAAAAATCAGACCAGAAGAGGACAGCACCAAGCACAGTGACCCGAAAAACGGAACCAAATGGAATGCAACGGTGTCCCATCTGAAACCGTAAGAATAGACTGGCAAGCCAAAGGACTGACGATCCATAGCTGGAATGTCAATGGCCTGGGCAACATTCTCACTGAGGACGACAAACTCAGGGACATCAGGCTCGGTCTTACGGACAAGAGTAAGGCCAAACCCAACGTTATCCCACTACAAGAGACCCACCTATCCAACCTCACACATCACACTAGAATCAAACGGACCGTGGAAAAAAGCTTGGGTGGCAGTCCGTTCAAACTGTGGTGCAACAAAGAGGACCAAAGCAACCGAGGCAAAGCGATCCTTATACCGTCCAATTCCAAGATCTGGTCGGAAGGAAAGGTAATTAACAGCGAAGGCAACACAAACGAGGGACGATGGCCATGGATCCAAATCACATGGCAAAGGGAAGAGCTTAGGATCCTGAACCTGTATGCCCCAAATGCAGAAAACGAACGCCTAGTGTTCTTCGATCACATCAAATCACT